CTCCATGGGGGCCACACCCACCTTATCTCGAATAACTTCATTCCCAATCTTGTCCATCCTTGTATGCCCGCACATCCACCTCAGCATCCTCATCTCTGCTACTTTCATCTTCTGGATGTGTGAATTTTTAACCAGCCAACACTCGGTCCCATACAACATAGCAGGCCTAACCACTGCTCTATAAAACTTACCTTTTAGTAACGGTGGCACTTTCTTGTCACACAAGACTCCCGTTGCTAACCTCCACTTCATCCACCCCACCCCTATCCGATGTGTGACATCCTCGTCGATCTCCCTGGTCCCCTGAATAACTAACCCAAGGTACTTGAAACTACCCCTCTTAGGGATGACTTGTGAGTCGAGCCTCACTTCCACTCCTGCTTCCATCGGCTCGGCCCCAAAGTTGCACTCAAGGTATTTCGTCTTCGTCCTGCTCAGCCTGAAACCTTTTAGACTCAAGGGCATGTCTCCAAACCTCTAGCCTCTCGTTGACGCCGCGTCGTGTCTCGTCAATTAGGACTATGTCATCAGCAAATAACATGCACCATGGCACCTCCCCTTGAATATGATGCGTTATAGCATCTATCACCAAGGCAAATAGGAAAGGGCTGAACGCAGACCCTTGATGCAACCCTATAACAACCGGAAAATGGTCGGAGTCGCCTCCTACTGTCCTAATTCGAGTCTTAGCTCCATCATACATGTCTTTAATCACCCTAATGTAGTCAACCGGGACCCCTTTAACCTCTAGGCATCTCCATAGGACCTCCCTAAGAACCCTGTCGTACGCTTTCTCTAGATCAATAAACACCACGTAGAATTAATAAGCAATAAACCTAACTTCTTGGTTGTTTGGTTAGGTTATCCAACTTTTTCCTTTCTTTCTTTTTATTTTTCTCCTATTTTGGTTGTGTGTGTGTGTGTTTTTGGGGAGGGGGAATTGGAAATCATAAAGTTAATACACTTAATTTTTCTTATGAATTTCTTTGAATTTAATGGGACCAGTGAGTTCCAGCTAATTAAATCTAGAAGAAGAAAAAAATGTTCGAAGGATGATCAAACGGGAAAATAAATATTTATTAACCTAGAATATTTTTTGTTAGGTGGAAACAGCAGCCACTAGAGTAATTAATTAGGAAATACGTCAACTTAGATAAAATCCTAAATCTTTTCACTAAGTGGTTTCAACGGATATTAATATATAATTCTCCACACATGTCGGAAACAATTTTTAAGTCCAAACATTCTTTTATTAAAGTTTTATAGATCTAAAGTTTTAAGTTGATCTCTGTCACATGCAGATTTTTTTTAAACACGTTGAACAAGTTGGCCTAAATTAAATTAATTTAGAGATTCCTTTCCAAATTAAACTAACTTAATCAAGTGGTTGCTTTCTTTAATATTAAATCCCCCCCCC